CCCCAAAACCCCAAAACCCCAAAACCCCAAAACCCCATTATTAGCAGATTGGATTGAAATATTTAGATTATTCTTCAACATCATCAACTTTCTTCTTTCGTTCTGGAATGTATGGAAGGGCTCCAGGCTTGCTGTTAGCACGAATATTTGCCTCCTTTCTATTCTTGCTCTCTGTCTGGATGTGTCTAATATTGTGACGCTTCTTAATCAATTTGGGCACATGCTTATGGCGAAGAATTCTTTTAATCTCTTTGTTATAAGCAAATTTCTTTTTCAGCCTATTCGAATAAGCTATTTTTTCCTTCTCTCTAGAGAGCATTGGCTTGAGAGAGTAAGAAGCATGGGATTTCCAGATTCTCACGTTGGTGTCCTCACTTCCTGAGATGATAAACTTACTATCCATCGAGTAAGCGATAGAATTTACTTGTTGCATTCTCTTTGTGTGGTAAACTTCTCTTGATCTTCCATTGTTGTATCCAAAAATTCTGATAGATTTATCATAACTTCCAGTACAGAACTCCTTACCAGTTGGAGAAAAGTCAATGGAGAGGATAGCATTTGTGTGATCTTTGTGGATCATCTTAGCTTCATCCAGTTTCCTCATGTCGAAGGTATAACAATTAGAGTCTTCATTTCCAACAACAAAATTGATAGGCTCATAAGGATTCCAGGTTAAGCAGCTTGATTTATTTTTCAAGAAAATCCTCTTTAAAGGAGTGTTACCTCTAATATCATACAAACAAATACTTCTATCAGAAGCAGATGAAAGAATAAGATTTGTCTCTGAAGGATTCCATTTAAGTGTGTTTACTGCATCCATTCCCCAATCAAATCTACTGATAGGATCTGATCTTTCATAGTCCCAGACTTGAACTATTGATCCAGAAGTTGCGAACTTTGCTTCTTCATAACTATGATCAACATTGAAAAGGATTGATTTACTCATATATTGAGCTTTAGGTTTATATGCTACAATATGGCCTTTCCTTGCATTACCTTTCTGTTTGTTACAATTATTCAAAGACCAAATTTTAACAAATTTATCATCTCCACTTGAGAGAAACAGAGTGTCTGTAAGATTAACTGCAGCTGGGTTAGCATAGGTCAGCCCTCTAATAGAGTTTAAATGAGCACTAATGACGTGATACTCACTCTTTGAGTGTAAATTCCACATACAAATGATACCTTCATGATCACCTGTGACAAAATCGACCATGGAGTTCACATTCTTAGCCATAGTAGTAATCCCGTCTGTATGAGTGTCCAGAGCAGCAAGGAAGGGTTTTGAGAATATTTTCTCAACCTTAGCTGCATTCAAAGCTCTCTGGTACTCCCTAGCCTCTTGGAAAGGGTTCAGAGATGGATCAGGATTTCTCTGCATCTTCATTACATCCTTTGCTGATTTCTTTTCATAATCTTTAGGGTTTCTTCAGATAGCTTTAACTTTTACCATTTTATTTTATAAACACACACAAATTATTGGGGTTTTGGGGTTTTGGGGTTTTGGGGTTTTGGGG